ATAATATTTCTTTATTAATACAATGTCGGATATCGGAATTTTTTTCTTTATCGAGGAAGATCATTTTTATTTAAGAGTTTCTTGGGAGCTGGTTTCTTACGATTTATCGATAGAATTTCCATTTTTCCGATACTCGCACGTATGTTAGTTACGAATGTAGAAAGGACGGATTGTCTTCGTCCTCGACATCGCCAGCAGAGTCGATTTATCGCTCCTTTTGTATTCGTAAATCAGGTAGAACATATCTCTTCCGGTGGCATGTGAGACAGAGAGAGAGAGAGAGAGAGTTTCGTTTATGTGTCTGTCAAGTTGAAGGAAGAAATCTATTGTCACTCTCTTTCATCGTACGCTTAAAGATCTTCATAACTTTAATATTCTATCTCTAATTGTATATGATTTTTTATTTATATATGTACATAAAAAAATTGTGTATAAAGAACAATAATATCCATTGTAAATCACGAAAATTCTATTATATGAATTAATTTTTGTATGATGTAAATAATAATTTCATGAAAAAGAAATATAAAGATAAGTAAAGAAGAAAAAACGAAGCAGAAAGTTGTATTAGATAATGAAAAAAAAAATTGTTGAAGAAAAATATATGTACATTTTTGCAAAATTTTAATGTAATATTGAAATATTTATAATACATCGTATATCATCGTTTATCTTTAGCATTTTTATAAAAATTATATTAAAAATAATATAATTTATATTAAAATAATATCGAAGTAATATTTTTACATGTGTTGTTTGCGTGTTTTTACAATAGAAGATTTTATAAAAAAACCTTTTAAATTTTGTCGTTCCAATCGATGATCGCATTTATATTTTATAAGCTTCTATTGTCACGTGTATGTACATACATATATGGAGATATTACAAGCTACAATATTCCATGCATTGTTTGACCTATTTCACGATCACTGCAAAGCGCAATGCACAGAACAATATACAAATGCGCTATATAGGAATATGAAAAGAATCTTAAGATTAATAATAAATCATATGTTTCTCAAATGATAATATCAAATGATAAATTTTGTGGAAAGGATTGCTGATAAGTATATTAATAGTAATTATATCATATAACTTTTAATCTTTTACATTCTAAATGTTAAATAAGAGATGTTAATAATTTTATATACACTAAAATAAAAATATACTTGCGAGATATAAAATATTTTACAATTTTATCGAAATAATTAAAAGGCATAGCGCGTTAACGTATGAAACTTATATTTATTTATATGTATCTTATGATTTCAAATTTTATAAAACTTGTTATGTTATATTTAATAACTCAATTTAAGTTATTTTCTTTTCGATGCTTTTAAATGTTTCAAATAAACTTGTAATTATATAAAAAAGCCTGTAAAAACTTGTATTATATAAAAAATAAAAAAGATGCATAATATATCTTAGTAATAAAAATTAGAAAATCTTAGCAAAGCGTACTATAAATGTTAATTATGACACGCTGTATATCATAGAATGTTCACCGCATGGAGATTAATTGACATACGATTTACGTGATTAATATGGTATACGAGATTAATTATATAATACCAAGCGTACAAAGCGTGCAAACAGGAGACAGAACTCTCGCTTGTCGGTTTAACCTAATTTTTGTTGAGACACATACTGCAATTAATCAAGGCAAATGGACGTAAGTCTGCGAGCGGGAAATTGTAGCGAAGGGATGCACGATGCAAAGCAGCCGAGGTCGCGAGTTTTGGACTCTGGACGGCGGCGGCAAACGGCGCGGCACGAAGCATAGAATGCAAATGATCAATTAACCAGTTGTAAATCACTACACTGTGCTATGAGGGAGGGAGCTTTATCTAGCCCCACTAGCCCCCGTCGATCCGGTCGGTCTAATGGCCGGTCAAGCCAGCATCGGTCTCTCTTATTTTCATGTGCTCTCCACGATCTCGTTATATGAAATGCTCCAAAATGAACGGGATGACCGAAAGCATTTTTTTCTTTGTTTTATTTTAACAAAACTCTCGCGTCGAATCATCCTTCCTTATTAAATAATAAGAAAGAAATATTACATTATATAAGAAAGTTTACATTATAATTCAACATATATAATAATAGTACTGTTCTGCTATTATTATCACATATTATTATATTATTATTATTTTTATTACATTACAGCTCATCTTGTCCAATTGCTACTGCCATCCCTCATTTTTTTGCCATTTCTTATCGACGATATTTATTATCCAGGCCACGTGCGCCGGAGAACCTTTCGAAAGTTGATGTTATACCCACGGGACACACCCGAAGATATTAAGTAGCCTACGAATTCCCAGCCATGCGGCCGTCTTCTTGTGGTTAACATTTGGAACGGAATTTGGAGGCTATTCTGAGTTAGCAATCGGGGCTCGTTTCTGAACGGAAATATTATAGCAACACGTAGATATATCATCGAGTTTGTATAGTAATTAATAATAAGAAATTATCTCATTCGTAAATTAGTTTAGATATTACAAATGTGATTACGTTTATTGCGAATAAACAAAAATTTCAGTCGAGTTTTGTAAGACAGAATAATAGTGCAAAATTATAGATGTAACATTCATAGTGAAAAAAATGGATTATTTGTCAATGCACAGAAAAAAATTAATTTTAAATCAAAACAAATATTCTCATATATACATGAATTATATATATATATATATATATATATATATATATATATATAAAATATGTAGTGCCCCAGATACATCTCATATGATTCGACGCGAGACCGAGATCATGGCCAAGAAATTTAATGGACTAGAGGGAGGGACAGCCCGTACGATAGGGGTAGTGGTGCTTCTGACAAAGGCTCTAATGACGTACGATAGTAACCTTCGTGAGGAGCGCGATACATATTCCGGTGGATATGCATATTTAGTACCGTTTTATAATCTTCTCGCAGAAATGCACGGGGCACTCTGCCAAATCAGCGAAATTGAATCGGAAGAGAATTTTTAGGCAAAGCACTTTATTACGTTATTATATTTCGGAACGTCGAGGTGGCGTACGCTCCCTCGCGCTCGTTTCATAATTCCAGCCGAGTTTGAAGGCAAACTCGCTTGATTAGAATATCGCGAGAACTGTGCAGATTTATTACGTTCGCCATTATCCCTGTCCTTTTAGTAACAAACAACATTGAACAAACATTGTGCGAAACACGAAATGCTCCCGAATGCTCCATTTAATCTAATTTAATTTAATTATATTATCCGTGCGAGATCATTCAATTTTTAATAATTACGTGTCATATCATCGAGATATGTAATCGATGAGCCGATAAACAGCGGTACAATTTACAATTTACATTATCATTTTATGTTGTTGGATAATACACAGCTCGTTACTTCCGATATCGTCATATCGAAATTATACTGGTGATCTCGAAGAGAATTGTGGCTAATCACGAGGCTAATCCATATATTTCGCTGTTGAGCATTATTAAATTCCTCGGATCGGTGAAAATCGACCGCATGCACCGGTTCGATTTGCATTATTGCACGTTAGGTCGCGTGTCGTGGGCGCCCCTGGCCACCTATTTACCGCGCCTTTGGGTGTTGAATTCTTTTTTCCCGCGCCCGCGGACGCTGCCTTCCTTCTTTTATGTCCTCAAGTAGCCTGAATTGCCGATAACTATCGTATACTACGAATATTTATAGAAGTGAATTTTGCATTTTTATTCTGATTATGAGCATCGTGCGGACCCGCCGAGCGCCGATTGTTGCGTGCCGCGTTGGCGCGTACGTACGTACGGTTGAAGGATGAGGGGAGAGAATGGGGTGAAAGCAGGGATTATAGAGACGGAATATCGCGACATCAAAAGTCCCAGCGGTAATTGCATTTCTTAACGTCAGTACCGGTATTACTTCCTCCTCTAATGACGCCGTGCTATCGCGCCCCATCCGCTTAAAATTACGCCGAGCGGTTCCTCGCGGCGAAAATCAATAATGAACCGTAATGACGGCGCTGTTATTGTTAGCGGCGTGTAAATGCGAATGACGCAACATGCACATTTCGCGTCTCTACTGGCCGTACGACACGTGCGATGCCTGAAGGTATGCCCCCGACCCGAAGACAGTTTCTCCATTTTTCATATGCCAAGTACGTTAGTATGTAAGTATCGCTGCTGAATTATTCATTATGTTAAGTTATTTTTGTTGGTCTCGATGGTTGGAAGATCGAGAGACTTTGTCCCAAGTCAAAACCTCGTCCGAGAACTCGAGATTAAGAATAATTATTTTTCGACTTTCGACTTGTTGATTGCACCGCGCTAGACAATATAAATATAGGGTCTTAGTCTTTCCTTTCCAATTTGCATCTTATTATTTTCTGCCTATGTACTTAACTCGATAATATCAATCGATAAATTCTTAACCGTTTTTATAATTAAATTTCCACTTGTCTATGCAAAAATAAGTTATAGATATTTGTAATTTTAGGAGAGAAGAAATAATAATCGGAATTGCTATAAATTAGAACAATCCTCTTGAATCAAATTCTGAAGATATTATCTTCCAACATGTTTTTTTTTTTTTTCAAAAAACTCAGATTTTAATGCTTGTGCAAATCTATCACGGAGTTCATTGTACAATGTGTTTGCGATCAGTTATGATTTTATTTCTCCAAAAATGAAAACACAGTCTAGAAGATAGATCAGCACGACTTTCGGACTGAAGCCAAATCTATAGAGAAAGACATATGTCAGCAGAATATATTTTATATATCTTCCGCATGGCTTTTGCGACAAGTCCACTTCGCTTTACTGTCTTTTTGCGCGATTTATCTTTACTTTAACATTTGTAGACATTGTGAATAAAATATGATCGGATGATTAAATTAAATATGACTATGTAACACATAATATATATAAGGTAATCAGAACGTAATATGTATAAGGTAATCAGAATTATATATTAAAATATAATTATATATTAAAATATAATAAATATAGCTTACTTTTTTATTTCCAGGAAATCGCCGCCATCCTAATCAGTTTTCAGAGGCACGCCGAATGGCAAAGTCGGGAGGTAAAAGTACGACCACGAAGTGGTTCAATGTTACTGTACTCGAGGAAAAAAGTACGTTACCGGCGGGACGGTTATTGCTGGAAGAAAAGAAAAGATGGAAAGACTACACGGGAGGATCATATGAAACTAAAGGTAACTTTATACTTAAAAGAAAAAAGGTATCGAGCAGTTAATGTTAAGCCGTATTTGCAACCAGTAATTACAACTTATTTATTAAAATTTATTATAATTTATAAAGGAAATTTTTACTTCACGTCAAACACAAATTGTTACGTCATCCGATGACAGGTTCAGGGAGTCGAGTGCATCTATGGCTGTTATGTGCACTCGGCGATCCTTCCGACGTTTCATCGGCGGTGTTACTGGCTACTGCAGAATCCGGACGTAGTTCTCGTCCATTATTTGAATGTCCCTTATCCGGATGGTGATGCGAAGCTGGCGGCCCTGCCACCCTGCCTCGCGCTGCCGCCAGACAAGAAGGAATGGACGCGAGACGAGTTAGCGTCGCAATTAAGGCCCATGTTCCTCGGTGGAGATGACGATCCGAACAATCCTCATCTCACGCAGCACTCAAACCATCCCGTCGACATGATAGTCTCTCAACTGCTCGATAGGCAAAGGGCATCCTCCACTTCCTCCACCAGTAATACTCAACTCGCACCTAGGAGACTTACGCCCGACAATCAGGTATTATATTAAACTTGACATCTCATAATAAATGGAATTTCTTAATTTATTCTTTACTTTCTTTTTAATTATTAAATACGTTATAAATTAATTATTTATAACATATAAAAAATTCTGCTACAAAAATTAAAAATATTTTTGGGAAACTTTTTTTATAATGTTATTGGTAATATTATTAGTTATATAAAATTATGCGTAAATGCCTGCTTAAAATAGGTCTCTTCGACAACGGGAGGTCAGCAACAGACGACGACGGCGGCTCCGGCTCCCCGCGTTTATTCAAGACATTCCCATTCCACTCAGAGTCAACAGCCGGCTCCTTTAGTTTTAAGTTTGCAACAAATTCAAGGCGGTGGTGGTCTTCTGATACTTAACAGTCAACCATATCATCATCAGCAACAGCAACAACAGCAGCAGCAGCAGCAGCAGCAACAGCAACAGTCGCAACAACAGCAGCAACAGCAGCCGCAACAGCAGCAGCAGCAACAGCCGCCGCAACAGCAGCAGCAACAGCAACAGCAGCAGCAACAGCAAAGTCAGCAAGTGGAGATGCAACAAGTCACAGAACAACAAATCGTATCACAAACCAGCGTCGACCGCGAACAGCAAACGCAACAAGAGATTGACGCGCAGGAGAGTATGGAAAGATCTGCCGTACAATCATTGCCAATCGGCAGTTCTGGTTCCGAGGTGACCGATTTCGCGGAGACGCTGGATCTGAGTCAGGAAGACATTCAGAGGACACTATCGGCTAACATGGTGCCTCCGTCGCCGTCACCTTCGCCGGCAGACAACAGCATGATTAATCCGATGGATTTTATTGATTCGTCGGACGACGTGCTGGTCAATCTGGACGCGTTCGACGTGTTCGGTGATTTGCCAGAGCTGCATGATTTCGAAGCCGAACATACAAAGCACGAGGAACAGCGAGGTGCTCCCGAGAACGACGTCGGATGTCATCCTGGTACAACCGTCCATATTGCAGAATATAGTCCTGAGTGGAGTTACACCGAGGGTGGTGTAAAAGTGCGTAGATAAAATATTTACAGCTGATTCTTATTAAATGTTTATGGATTTGCTAATTATTTATGTCGATATAACATAATAAAATAATAATTCGTATTTTAGGTATTAGTTGCTGGTCCATGGACCGGCGGTAGTGGTTCCCAATCATATTCGGTACTTTTCGATGCGGAACCGGTCGAAGCGTGCCTCGTGCAACCAGGCGTACTGCGTTGTCGATGTCCCGCGCACGCACCAGGAATAGCGTCCCTCCAGGTGGCCTGCGACGGTTTTGTCGTGTCCGATAGCGTTGCCTTCGAATATCGTAGAGCGCCGACGAGCGAACCTAGCCCAGAGAAAGCTCTGCTGGACCGTCTTGCGGACGTTGAGGCCCGTCTGCAGGGTCCCGGTCCACCTTCTCCCGCAGCTCATCTAGAAGAGCGACTGGTTGCTTATTGCCAGGTATTTCAAGAACAACGTCTTGAGCTCTCTAATTGAGATCTTGATAGATCTTAATAGTCGTAATTTAATCAATTACTACGTAAAGCTTTGCCGTTTTGGAATATTATAGGATGCTGTTGTCCGTCCTTGGCGAGCCGGAGCAGAACCTCTTCAGTCCGGTGGGCCTACTCTCCTGCATCTGGCGGCCGGATTGGGATACTCCAGATTAGCCTGTGCACTCCTTCACTGGAGAGCAGAAAATCCTAGTAGCGTTTTGGATGCCGAGGTTGATGCTCTTAGGCAGGATAGCGCCGGCCTTACGCCACTTGCTTGGGCCTGCGCGGCGGGACATGCCGACACCGCCAGGATCCTTTACAGGTTTGTGAATATATCTCTATCGGAGCAACATTTGTTTAACATTAATTATGAGCAATTGGCTTTATAAGTTATGACAAAAGTTATATAATTCATCTCCGCCTTTCGTGTGGCTCACAATTGCCTCACACCACGAACATATTAATTTTTTATCGAATTGAATTTTAATAAGCATTTATTATTTTAACTCTGCCTCCATAGATGGAATGCTATGGCACTACGCGTGAGGGACTGTCAGAATAGAACGGCGACCGAGCTGGCCGCGGAGAACGGTCACACGGCGATCGCCGAAGAACTGAATCAGCTCGAAACCCGAAGGCAAGACGAGAGGCTTTTCTTGCGACCCGCCAGCCCTAGCCCCAGGCGGCCATCTCAAGACAGCGGTCTCGATCTGGCGTTGTGTTAGTCTTGTTTGCTATTATATATATATATATATATATACTGCCTTCTCTTCCGTATACACGCACACACATTCACGTATCTAACACACGTATAGACACACTCAACTCCCTGTGCCGATTAGACCTCTCTCAGCGCCATTATATTCTCCCTCGTCCAATTTATAAAGACTGTAGAGTCACAGAAAGGCCGTAAAAAAGTCATGCGAGCGTAATAAATTAGGCAACGTATATAGCATTAAGTGGGGTTTATCGAAAAACACACAGGTGGCTCGCCGCTGCTGGATAACATGGAATTGTTGCAAGAGGATGAATCGTCGTTAGGCCTCAGCGAACAGGGAATGGAGAGCGTTTCGACCCCTCAGGAGACCGTAGGTCCGTACCTTCCTCGTTTCCTCTTCTATTTGTCTGTCTGTCTGCCTGTCTGTAAAAACTATCCGTAATTCTCTATCTCTCTGTGACACACTATCGATAGAAAATGGATCGGCCTAGATGTACTACCACAATCATGTGGACTGCGAATTCCGTAGAGAACCTAGCTAAAACTACGTTCGCCTCCCTCGTTCACAAACACATATATACACACTTTTTACACATATATGAACACACATACACGCGTACAGCAGCGTTCTCTTTTTCTATCTCTATTTCTCTGTGTGCGTAAGAAACGACCGGACTCGGTCAGCGACTTTGCCGCCTTCTTTAACTCTTCTGAACTCTTGCAGCTTAAACAATATTGGTGTTGCTTGGCATTCGTAAATCGCTGGTGTTGGATGAATTGCTGTGTGTAACGTTTAAATTTTCTTAGCCACCTACTGTCGGCTATCGAGGCCTGTTCTCGACTGCAACGATCTCGACTGTGTGCGCTCTTTTAATGGCAGTATAACGACTGTATCACCTGGACAGACACGCGATCTGTCCGGTCAACTAATGTAGAGGTATCTCACTTTGCAAAACGAGTAGGAAAATGTCATACTTACCAGCGAGTTGTCTAATTCTTCGTGCTGTCAATTCATGTCGTAGCGGCGCACTTGTTGTGGTGTTAAATATTTTATCTGATGTTGCGACAGCATCTCGATGCATCGTAGAACACGTTCACGGCTTTTAAACTTCGGTGTTGTGATCGATGTGATTTCGGCGGCCTGCCATCATGAGCTTTTCGAATTTGGCTAGGGTGGTGATTCCTTTTTATAGGGGAGGAAGACGCGAGGGTGCTGACATTGGCAGAACAAATTATAGCGGCGCTACCGGAAAGGATTAAGAGGGCGGAGGGTGATTCTCCGTCTTCTTCCTCGCCACCACCACCCACAGCGCCTCTGTCACCCCTGGAAGATGCTCTCATGGAACAAATGGTAAGGATATCGCACTCGCTATTATTATTATTATTAATTCTCAGAATTGTGCATCCCGTAGAATTTTCCCTTCCATCCCTTTATTCTAATCTCTCCTTAAATTTCAAATCGGATTAAATACAGATAAGAGATTGCGAATGATTAATTAATCGCCGAAACTTTCCCGTTGGAGTTGGACATAGTCTTCTGGTGTATACAATCGGAGAAATAGCTACCGGTATTAGTTCAGTCTTGAATCATAATTAGAAGCAAAACTTTGAATCCAGCCTGGATTTGTGCGCCGACAAATGTAACTTCGAAGTTGCCGGGTTTTCCACTATAAAGCTCAATTTATATGCTAATATTTCTGCTTGTAGCCTCTCGACTCTGGGGAATTATTTGACTCGTATCGCGACTGCAGCGGCGGCGCCGCTTCAGTTTCGGATGTCGATGCCGATGCCAGTCCCTCGAGTCCCTCCAGCAGTTGTCTGACACCCGATTCACCATCTCCGCCACCCACCACCGCCGATTTCTGTGAGTTTCTACAGCTGCAACTGCAGCTCGATGGCAATGGTAATGCTCACAGCGGCCAGTATTATTCGTCGAATGGCGGCGGCGAGCGCAAATTGAACGGCATGATTGGTTCCGGAGTCATGACAGCGACCGGAAATGGCAACGGAGACGGTAATGAAGCAGATCTTAGTAGACTGACGCTATCCGATCGCGAGCAGAGAGAGCTCTATCATGCCGCCAGGATGATTCAAAAGGCATATAGGAATTATAAGGGTCGTCAGAGGCAGGAAGAGGCTGAAAGGCACGCCGCCGTTCTGATCCAACAGTACTATCGCCGCCACAAACAGTACGCTTATCACAGGTAATCTGTTTATCACTTCACATTATATATTTTATCAGCAGATTTCTTTTATATTCATTTCTATCTTTTTGATTTTTCTTTCTTTTATGTCGTATCGTTATATATCGTTTCTTTTCATATTTATATTCAGAGTGACTTGCTTTATGCCTTTTGAGGTTTCTCCTTTTAACATTTCGCGTGCCATCGAACTTTCTTCACTCGGAAAGTCTTAAGAACAAAATGAACTTGCTGTCAGACTGTAATGGTACTAACTACTTTACGCGATGCATGCGACGTTTAGATACGGATCGTCCAAGTTTATGTGGGCACGTGTTATCAACTCGTGTTGAGCTCAAGGTTGTTAAGTATGACAGATCATTATCTCGCATCGCGCAGACATCGCCAAATTGCTTCGAACTTAGAAAGCTTAAATTTCCATCGATATTCCGCCGGCCGAGGAGGTTGCGGGCGGACGTCTTAATAAGGGACAATTAATAATCGGGGGACAAGACGTACCATTGTGGGACGACTTAACGACCTCCGACTGAATTAGACCGATGCCACCAAAGTTCGACCCGTGTACCTCTCTCGGGGCGAACTTTTAATTGGCATCGTAAATAATTCGGAAACTTTGCGGATTTCTCTGCCTTCGTTATGCTGGCCTGAATACAGAATTAAGTTGGCATTAAATTAATACGACTTTCGTTGAAGATGGAGATCGGTATTCCTACCTTCTTCCTGCTTGTGTTCATCTAGTTATATAGCGATTTGAACTTTCCGTTTGTAATATCTTCGAAATTAGTGACAATCAGCTGACTATATATTATCATTGTAGAATTCTCCGCGAAAACGCAAGTTGCTGGAAGATATCGGGCGTGCGGCCAATTCCGATTTTTATTTATTGTAGATCAAAGATAGAAATGTATTCATTTAACAAAAGAATTTTATTTTTTTTTTTTTTATTAAGAATCTCTGCTTGTATCTGCGTCATTCTATTCATTCTGTATGTCTTAAATACTTTGATATATTTCTATACTTTTACTCTTTAAAGTTTAATTTAAATCGTCGTTGCGCACATTTTAGAATATTGGAACATTTTATCGCAGGCAAGCCACGAAAGCGGCATTGGTGATTCAGAACAACTATCGAAATTATCGGGCGCGACCGGGCTCAGCCAGCGCGAGGCAGCAGGCGGTTCATCAACAGGCGGCTCATCAGGCAGCAAGAAAGATCCAGCAGTTCATGCGGCAGTCCAAAATCAAGTTAGTATCCCCGTACGTGTGTGTGTGTACAGTGCTGCATTTCCTGTTGCAACGATGTGCACGCACATTAGTTTAACGTAGTAGAGACTTCTTGTTAGCACACGAAAGGCTTTATCGTACTGTAAAACGAAAAAGACAAAGTGTAAAAGTTCTAAAGTCTCCCTCTTCTGTGTGTCACTAATGCAGCTTGTCGTGGGACGAGTCACGACCGGTAAGTAAAGATCTTATAATAGGGCAAATTGTTTCGGCAAAACATTACTCGTTTGTACATCTCTCTTTCTTTCTCTCTCTCTCTCTCTCTCTCTCTCTCTCTCTCTCTCTCTCTCTCTCATTCTCTCTCTCGTTCCTGTCTCGTCTGTGCCGAAGGGAATTAACGCTTTCGTCGTCTCTATCTCGATCTGCACCCTGTTTCACGACACACGAATTAATGTTTATATATCGGGACTGTGTTATATCGTGCCTCACACATCACGTTTGATGATGCTTCGTGTTTATTGTTTGAATGTCTCGTCGATATATATTCTGTGTTTTGTATAACGAAATCGTGTATTTGTCGCTTAACGACGTAGAACTATCGAGTTTCTCGATAATCACTTTGCGAATGAATTCGTGGACGAATATGTGAAACGTACATGTTGCATGTTTATATGGATTGAAGATAGCATTCATATTTTGTTACGGTTTCCATTATTTAATTAATTTTTAATAGCTATTCATAAAATAAAAAATTATATAATATAATTATTGTACCTTATAAATATTCAGCTTATATTTGTTAATTTACAATTAAAATTAAAAATTATTTTAATATGAGTAACGCAATTATTTGTTATTTTTGTTTTGAAATGTGTTTATCAAATAATATATCTCCTAATGGATTGAAGACTAGCATTTATATTTTTAAAATTTTCATTATTTAATTAATTTTCTAATAGCTATTCATAAAATGAAAAAATTATTTCATCTTATAAATATTCATCTTATAAATATCAATTTATATATCATCCGTCATATATTAATTTAGAAATTATTTTAATACGAGTGATGCAATTATTTGTTATTTTTGTTTAGAAATGTGTTTTAATCAAATAATATATTTCCTAATGAATCGATACTGTCCAATTAACTGTTGTTCGTCAATGAGTCGCCGCAAGGTATTAATCGAGAAGCGCTTAGATGCGTTTGTCTGCCTTCCGGTATATACTGCTTGATCATTCGGTGTCACTTGTGCACTTTCGCGCGAGCGAAAAATGTGTGTTTTCTATATAAAGCCTATATTTCTGCCTTGAATCAGACTGCAGAACGCCAAGGCCGTCGCAAACGGGAGCGGGAGGCCGCCAGTGGTCACTTCGCGGGTGGCTGTTGTCCCCCAAAGCTCGCCCTCATCTAGCCCAGGGGCCAGCCTAGTAGCCGCCAGCCCGGGGGTCACCTAATTGACTGTCAGTCCAACGGCACGCGGAGTGGCGGCGATGACAGTTCGGTAGCGAAGTAACACGGCCGGTGGTGATGATCGTTGGTGAACGGCGCTCCGGATCGGCTGTCGCGACGCTCTGAGGAAGTATCGTCGTTAATGCGACGACTGCGTCACAACTTATCACAAGAGGGTACCAGACGTACGACACTGAATGATATACAGAATTTTGTTCTCTGCGTCTCTCTGATTTACGTACCCGATGGTTGATCAGTCTGGAATCTTATCTATCTTCTAATCTTTTATCCTTCACATCATATTTCTTTATCGTTAATATCGTTAATATCGCGTGCCATCCTCTACCGTTTATTCTTTTCACTTGTATCTTATGCTACTATCATATTCTCTACGTATTTTTACATCTTTCTCGACACGAGCGAGTTAGAGTAACAGCAGATAGACAAATCGATCGTAAATAGGTTTTTTTTTTTAAATCCGTATAAGATCGATTGATTCGAAAATTATTTATACAGCACGATTTTGTCTTTGTTTTGTTTAACAAACACATGTAAGATATAAGCGTCTAGCGTACCATGTCTCTTCAGGAGTACGAAATCTGCTTGGTCCGACAAATACGTTGATTCCTGCTACATCGCGACAACATCGAAGTTGACGAGCCGTTCCCGTGATATTTTATTAAATCCTTGTATGCACCGAGCTGAATCGCACAAAGTCATTATCGCTTTTGTAGATTTAAATAGCTCGCGAGTTTGCCACTGGCAGATCTGCAAGTTCTTTCGAAATGAAATATTTCTTCAATACAAAACTCTTTGTAGGTATAGACATGTTTCTTCTTTGATGACACTAGTCGATAAATTTGATCCCCTCTTTGAGGTAAACAAAATGTATAAACTTATTATATAAATAACCATTTTAAAATGGTACAAGTTAAATATAGCTTGTTCTAAATTGCAATTTTATCAAACTTACATTAAATTCAACTTAATAAATCTCAGTATCTTTTAAGGAAGAAAATTAGAAAGAAGATACTATAAAATGAAATAAATCCTATAAAAATTAGTTATTATTTTTTTAAAAATCTAAAAATTTTGTTTTAAGAGAGAGAGAGACTCGTGTCATCAATGTTGTTCTGCTCATACCGACGTAACTTTACCATTTTCTATGACAAAGAAGTATTCGTGTAGAGATTATTAGATCTATTTTTTCAATATAATTACATGCACTATACAATCTTACTTGCATAGAAAATAGTTAATATTTTTCATTCTTCTTTATGGTACATTTATTGATTTATAATTTTAATCAAATTAGACTGCGGCTAAGATTGTATTAAGAAAAAATAGCGAGTGGAAAGAAAAAAAAACAAAAAAAACCACTCGATCAAAAGAGACTTATTTTACGCGAGAATCTTTTCAAATCTTGATGTTCTTCGTGAGCGTTTCTAATATTTTTACATTTTGAATCCATCTGATATTAATAAATGAACGAAGAAGTGAACAAACAGAATATGGAAGAGCGACATAAAATTAACTTTAAAAGCAGAGTTATGTCAACGACGGGTAAGATAAGTTTCGAAAATTCGAAAGATAAAAATGAAATTTTAAATACGAATTCAGATACAGCCTTAATATTTTACGAGATTACTTTTAGATTTTTAATCGATATTATTCTGTACATTTTTTTGTATTTTTATGAGAATGTTAGTTAAATTTAAGTGATACACAAAGCTGGTCATTGCATTTTTATCGTTCAGCGTAAATTTGATAGCGCAGCGTCGAAAATCTACTGTATAGACGAGAAATTATTGTCATTTATCATATGGCATGGTCTCTTTCGTGTACGAAATTCGTTTTGCTTGAGAGACGTGAATGAAGGGAGCTTTTGCTTTGATTTTAGAAAATTTTATAGAAAGAGCGAGAGAAAAGTGAGGAAGACACAGAGCAAAAGGAGAGCAAATACGCGAACCTAGGTAGCTACTAGAGGCAATAAGAGGAAGGAATTATTAAAAGAGAATTAAAAAAAGAAAACAAGAAAAGAGAAAAAAAATGAGCGGGCCCTTCGTTCAAAGGGCGCAACTTCATCCACGGGCTGTGCTAGTCACAGTATAATCAACTTCGTAGAGTTACTTTTTAGAACGTAAGCTAGTCGATTATACATTGTTACAAAAAAAAACTACCTACCGTTTCTCTCTCCGATAGGGGATTTTTTTAAAGATTCTCTAGCATAAAGATATAATTAGCGGTTAATTAAGGGCGTAGTTGACTGCGGACGCGCACGCGATCGCGCACGATTGCACGGCGCGCGAAGGGCGTGATTGTCCCGGCGTTCAAAAATGTTTTGATCGGGAGGACAAACGTCCATTGTGATAAAATAATGGTGATCCAAGAAAGTATTTCCGCGCAACGGGACAAGGGGAGAGACAAAGATGAGAATCCACGTATCTCCGACGTACGTCTCCGTGTGCGTCTCCGTACGCACGCGAGAGTGTTCTCATTGCGATGTGAGAAGCAAAAAAAAAAAAAAACGGAGACAGACAGACAGACGAATAGAGATCCGCGAAGTGAATGGCGAGTCGAGATTACGCCGTGCGAGATCTGTCGGGGGAGTTATGTGTCGATAGCGCGTGTCGTTTAAATGTAAAGGGGTGCTACGGATTTTCGAATTGCCGAATTTCTTCGAGGGAATATAAATTAACCCATATCGACCTTCTCTCCTCGGAATGTTTCGCAGAACTCACAGCGGGTCGTGAGATCTAACGGAACGACGTAATTGCGGAACGCGAGGTGGGATATTACTACAATATATATATATATATATATATATTGTACACATGAGTCAATTCCAACGAGCATTTTCATGCCATTAAGCTTAAAGAGTTATTAGTTATTAAAAAGAGAAGCGAGATGCGAGAGTGCGCGGGAAGCGAGATGAGGGACGGAAGGAAGAAGGAGGGAAGATAACAAATTCTTACACTCTTTTAATCATTGTTAATTAATTAAAATAATCACGAATCCTATCGAAATACTTAAAAAAAAATGAGTAAAATAATAATGATTATTATATACACAAAAAAAAACTATTATTATATATATATATATATATTCATATTTTTGCTTATTACATATTTAAGAAATCTAATTAAACGAGGGCTAGCGATTATACACGTAGCGGGCACGAGAGGCGTTAACGATGACGATTACGATGATGACGGACAAAGTCTCAAGTTAGAAATATTTCTAGTTAGCCGGGCTTGTCGTTATGCGTGGCAATCAGGTTCCGAATTTATGAAGTAAAGGGGCGGAAAACGATACGGCACGCGCGCGCGGTCTCGGCGAAAAGACGAAGTCCTCGATGCGATCGCATGCAACCGAGGACGGGGTGCTTTTCTGTCGCTTTTCACCGGGGGTCTCCGTGAGACAAGTCGAATACAATATTTTTTACCCGCGGAACGGCAGACAGGGAATAGCCGATACCGCGCGATATTTTCGAAGTTTCGCCGTAGCTCCACATTCATTATATAATTAACGACGTACACCGAGGACAAGCTGGGCGAGGAGTATTCCGTTGGTTGAGGATCGGAAAAACGGACGGAGAAGGGGTGAAGAGGGCTGGAGGCCGCTGAGAAAAAACTAATCTTAATTAAAAAAAAAAAAAACATCGCTAGGATAGGCGCTTCGATGAATACATAAACTTTAAAAGTCATTTATAATACAAATTATTCTCAAAATATAAAGAAGTTTAATAAGTAAAGGGGAAAAAAAATTTTTAAATTCTACGTAAGGAAGCCAAGAGTCAAAGACGACTAGATGATAGGAGCCGCATGGCCTAACTGCTGCCACTTTAATTAATTAAATAAATAATTATAACTTTATTACTCAAATAATCTCGATACAACAGATGGGAAATAATTGAAAAAAAAAAAAAAAAAAAAGAAAGAATCCTATAACACAATACTATCTCATGCCACTTTTCAAACTACTCTCTAGATGCAGAGACGAATCAGTAGGTATATTAATAGCGGACTATTAAAAGCAAGATTAAAACTAACAGGAATTAATTCTTCTTCTAAAAATCAGGAACGGTCAAAGATTCGCGCTATAGAAGATTCGTTATATTTCCAATTGTCCAGTCTCGAGAATTGCACGAGACACACGCGCGTTTATATTGAGGTTTGACCGTGCGGTTTCCGTTGTCGCGAGCCCGCCGGTATCTCGCCGCGGCCCTACCGCGAAACCGCGTGTTTCGAGAATAGAGCCATCCTCGAAATCAGACGGGGATACGAAGGGGCGAGTTTCCGACGCCGCGAACCGGAAGTACGCTTCGGCGCGTCGGGAAGCGAGATATCGCGAGGTTTCGAGGATTGCGAGCGCGTGATCGCCGAAGCGGAAGGCGATTCCGCCGCGGCTCCGGGCATCGTCGATATGTCTCTCTCGCGTAAAAACTCTTGCGTATATTTTTTACAAAATAGAAAAAGCAAAAAGAAAAAGAAGAGCCGAAAATTCGGAGCACGATCGTCCGGTGCTCATCGCGCGTATCCGCCCGTATCTAGATGGCGGCGCGTAGCAGGGCAGGGCGGGGCGGGGCACGGGCTCGCGATCGCGCGAACACGCGGCGCCCGGCGCGCGTTGCACGCGTCACGATGTCGAAAGGGTCGAAACGATCGGGTCGGTGTCTATCACATTTGTACAGACACCGGGAGATATCAGACACACATACAC